GACATGTAATTATAGCGCGGTGGGAAAGGCCGTTATTAGGCTGCTCTCTTTCCAATTATCTGGGATACGACGTGTGTGAAATGATCCTCCTTATCAAACAGCTCAACCCGCGCCCCGGCTACCGGGAGAAAATGACATCACGCAGCATGCATGCTAATGACCTGCTGCCTGCACAGTTCCTCCATGCCAGCCTACAGGTCCTGCTGTAATTTGCTCCACTTGGCCTCATCAGCCTGATGAGAGTCAGCAGGTCCAACTCAGCCAAGCGAATATCTGCTTCACACGCCGCAGCCGCAAGCAGCAGCCGCACACCGCAGCCTCATAGGTGGGGGGGAGGGAATGAATGATGGCGGTATCAGAGCGGCTAATGCTCCACCCTGCAGGCCTTCTTGTTTTAGACTCTTTGAAGCCAACCTGACCTTGAAGTGGAAGGTCAACATTTTCCAGGCATCTCAGCAAAAAAAAACTCCTTCTTTTCTTCTCTGCTTTCTCTCTGAAAATCCTGCAGGCCGAGGACAGAGAGAGGGACCGTCTCTGACTCCTAGGTCTTCGGTAAGCGTGCCGAGGACAGAGAGAAGGACCGTCTCTGACTCCTAGGTCTTCGGTAAGCGTGCCGAGGACAGAGAGAAGGACCTTCTCTGACTCCGTGGGCCTAGGTTAGCGTGCCGAGGACAGAGAGAAGGACCGTCTCTGACTCCGTGGGCCTGGGTTAGCGTGCCGAGGACAGAGAGAAGGACCGTCTCTGACTCCGTGGGCCTGTGTTAGCGTGCCGAGGACAGAGAGAAGGACCGTCTCTGACTCCGTGGGCCTGGGTTAGCGTGCCGAGGACAGAGAGAAGGACCCTCTCTGACTCTGTGGGCCTTGGTTAGCGTGCCGAGGACAGAGAGAAGGACCGTCTCTGACTCCGTCGGCCTCGGTTAGCGTGCCAAAGACAGAGAGGACCGTCTCAGACTCCGTGGGCCTTGGTTAGCGTGCCGAGGACAGAGAGAAGGACCGTCTCTGACTCTGTGGGCCTTGGTTAGCGTGCCGAGGACAGAGAGAAGGACCTTCTCTGACTCCGTGGGCCTAGGTTAGCGTGCCGAGGAAAGAGAGAAGGACCGTCTCTGACTCCGTGGGCCTGGGTTAGCGTGCCGAGGACATAGAGAAGGACTGTCTCTGACTCCGTGGGCCTCGGTTAACGTGCCGAGGAAAGAGAGAAGGACTGTCTCTGACTCCGTGGGCCTCGGTTAGCGTTCAGAGGACAGAGAAGGACCGTCTCTGACTCCGTGGGCCTTGGTTAGCGTTCAGAGGACAGAGAAGGACCGTCTTTGACTCCATGGGCCTCGGTTAGCGTGCCGAGGAAAGAGAGAAGGACCGTCTCTGACTCTGTGGGCCTCGGTTAGTATGCCGAGGAAAGAGAGAAGGACCTTCTCTTACTCTGTGGGCCTCGGTTAGTATGCCGAGGACATAGAGAAGGACTGTCTCTGACTCCGTGGGCCTCGGTTAACGTGCCGAGGAAAGAGAGAAGGACTGTCTCTGACTCCATGGGCCTCGGTTAGTGTCAGAGGACAGAAGGAAGGACTGTCTCTGACTCCTTGGGCCTCGGTTAGTGTCAGAGGACAGAAGGAAGGACCGTCTCTGACTCCTTGGGCTTCGGTTAGTGTGCCGAGGACAGAGAGAAGGACCATCTCTGACTCCATGGGCCTCGGTTAGTGTCAGAGGACAGAAGGAAGGACCGTCTCTGACTCCTTGGGCCTCGGTTAGTGTCAGAGGACAGAAGGAAGGACCGTCTCTGACTCCGTGGGCCTCGGTTAGCGTTCAGAGGACAGAGAAGTACCGTCTCTGACTCCTAGGTCTTCGGTAAGCGTGCCGAGGACAGAGAGAAGGACCGTCTCTGACTCCGTGGGCCTCGGTTAGCGTTCAGAGGACAGAGAAGGACCGTCTCTGACTCCTAGGTCTTCGGTAAGCGTGCCCAGGACAAGGAGAAGGACCGTCTCTGACTCCGTGGGCCTCGGTTAGCGTTCAGAGGTCAGAGAGAAGGACCGTCTCTGACTCCGTGGGCTTCGGTTAGCGTTCAGAGGACAGAGAAGGACCGTCTCTGACTCCTAGGTCTTCGGTAAGCGTGCCGAGGACAGAGAGAAGGACCGTCTCTGACTCCATGGGCCTCGGTTAGCGTGCTGAGGAAAGAGAGAAGGACCGTCTCTGACTCCGTGGGCCTCGGTTAGCGTTCAGAGGACAGAGAAGGACCATCTCTGACTCCGTGGGCCTTGGTTAGCATTCAGAGGACAGAGAAGGACCGTCTTTGACTCCATGGGCTTCGGTTAGCGTGCCGAGGAAAGAGAGAAGGACCGTCTCTGACTCCGTGGGCCTCGGTTAGTATGCCGAGGAAAGAGAGAAGGACCGTCTCTGACTCCATGGGCCTCGGTTAGTGTCAGAGGACAGAAGGAAGGACTGTCTCTGACTCCTTGGGCCTCGGTTAGTGTCAGAGGACAGAAGGAAGGACCGTCTCTGACTCCTTGGGCCTCGGTTAGTGTCAGAGGACAGAAGGAAGGACCGTCTCTGACTCCGTGGGCCTCGGTTAGCGTTCAGAGGTCAGAGAGAAGGACAGTCTCTGACTCTGTGGGCCTCGGTTAGCGTTCAGAGGACAGAGAAGGACCGTCTCTGACTCCTAGGTCTTCGGTAAGCGTGCCGAGGACAGAGAGAAGGACCGTCTCTGACTCCGTGGGCCTCGGTTAGCATTCAGAGGACAGAGAAGGAACGTCTCTGACTCCTAGGTCTTCGGTAAGCGTGCCGAGGACAGAGAGAAGGACCGTCTCTGACTCCGTGGGCCTCGGTTAGCGTTCAGAGGACAGAGAGGGACCGTCTCTGACTCCTAGATCTTCGGTAAGCGTGCCGAGGACAAAGAGAAGGACCGTCTCTGACTCTGTGGGCCTCGGTTAGCGTTCAGAGGACAGAGAAGGACCGTCTCTGACTCCGTGGGCCTCGGTTAGCGTTCAGAGGACAGAGAGGGACCGTCTCTGACTCCTAGATCTTCGGTTAGCGTGCTGAGGAAAGAGAGAAGGACCGTCTCTGACTCCATGGGCCTCGGTTAGCGTTCAGAGGACAGAGAAGGACCGTCTCTGACTCCGTGGGCCTTGGTTAGCGTTCAGAGGACAGAGAAGGACCGTCTCTGACTCCGTGGGCCTAGGTTAGCGTGCCGAGGAAAGAGAGAAGGACCGTCCCAGACTCCGTGGGCCTCGGTTAGCGTTCAGAGGTCAGAGAGAACGACCGTCTCTGACTCCGTGGGCTTCGGTTAGCGTTCAGAGGACAGAGAAGGACCGTCTCTGACTCCTAGCTCTTCGGTAAGCGTGCCGAGGACAGAGAGAAGGACCGTCTCTGACTCCATGGGCTTCGGATAGCGTTCAGAGGACAGAGAAGGACCGTCTCTGACTCCGTGGGCCTCGGTTAGCATTCAGAGGACAGAGAAGGACCGTCTCTGACTCCTTGGGCCTCGGTTAGCTTGCCGAGGACAGAGAGAAGGACCGTCTCTGACTCCGTGGGCCTCGGTTAGCGTTCAGAGGATAGAGAAGGACCGTCTCTGACTCCTAGGTCTTCGGTTAGCGTGCCGAGGACAGAGAAGGACCGTCTCTGACTCCATGGGCCTCGGTTAGCGTGCCGAGGACAGAGAGAAGGACCGTCTCTGACTCCTTGGGCCTCGGTTAGCGAGCCGAGGAAAGAGAGAAGGACCGTCTCTGACTCCGTGGGCCTCGGTTAGCTTGCCGAGGACAGAGAGAAGGACCGTCTCTGACTCCGTGGGCCTCGGTTAGCGTTCAGAGGATAGAGAAGGACCGTCTCTGACTCCTAGGTCTTCGGTTAGCGTGCCGAGGACAGAGAAGGACCATCTCTGACTCCATGGGCCTCGGTTAGCGTGCCGAGGACAGAGAGAAGGACCGTCTCTGACTCCGTGGGCCTCGGTTAGCGTGCCGAGGACAGAGAGAAGGACCGTCTCTGATTCCGTGGGCCTCGGTTAGCGTGCTGAGGACAGAGAGAAGGACAGTCTCTGACTCCGTGGGCCTCGGTTAGCGTGCTGAGGACAGAGAAGGACCGTCTTTGACTCCGTGGTCCTAGGTTAGCGTGCCGAGGAAAGAGAGCAGGACCGTCTCTGACTCCGTGGGCCTAGGTTAGCGAGCCGAGGAAAGAGAGAAGGACCGTCTCTGACTCCGTGGGCCTCGGTTAGCGTGCCGAGGACAGAGAGGAGGACCGTCTCTGACTCCGTGGGCCTCGGTTAGCGTGCCGAGGACAGAGAGAAGGACCGTCTCTGACTCCGTGGGCCTCGGTTAGCGTGCCGAGGACAGAGAGAAGGACCGTCTCTGACTCCGTGGGCCTCAGTTAGCGTTCAAAGGACAGAGAGAAGGACCGTCTCTGACTCCTAGGTCTTCGGTAAGCGTGCCGAGGACAGAGAGAAGGACCGTCTCTGACTCCGTGGGCCTCGGTTAGTATGCCAAGGACAGAGAGAAGGACCGTCTCTGACTCCATGGGCCTCGGTTAGCGTTCAGAGGACAGAGAGAAGGACCGTCTCTGACTCCGTAGGCCTCGGTTAGCGTTCAGAGGACAAAAGGAAGGACCGTCTCTGACTCCTAGGTCTTCGGTAAGCGTGCCGAGGACAGAGAGAAGGACCGTCTCTGACTCCGTGGGCTTAGATCTGCTTAGATCGTTATACTTTGAAACGGTGGGTCTATGGTGCTTGAAAAGTGTGACAGCATTGCATGAAATGAACAGAATATGATGAAGAAATTCTAAATATCTAGATCTATATCAAACAGCAGAAAGCCTTTTGTGAATCACTGAAAAAAATGATGCCACAGCTTTAGGCATTTACTTAATTATGTTTAGGTACTTTAAAACTATTGTTTCATGCATTTTTTATTTCAGTAAGGAGAGGTTGCTGCTTCCCATTGGCTTCTGGCTCGCTCAAACCCTGCCCCTGTCGTCCAATCAAAGCCAGAGATAGAGAGGGGGGAGAGAGGGGGAGGAGAGAGTGAGAGAGAGATGGTTCTGTATCACTAATCTCGCGCGCGCCATCCACTCTCAGAGCAATTAGAGTGAGCTGCAGCTCCGCAGTGACTCATTGAAACATCCTCAGAGCTGATAGAGACGCAGCGCCATACTGCTCAGAGAGCAGGGACAGCAGCGCTCCTCCTGCAGCGCTCCTCCTCCTGCACGCCTCCTTCTCCTGCAGGGCTCCTCCTGCGCTCATGGACTGCGCCGCTTCGCTGTGGATTCGCTCCGTTCTGGACTTCCATGCATTTGTTCTGTGAGGCTGCAGATCGGCGCACTGACAGGATCCGAGGCTGAGGTGAGTGATGGTTCTGCAGGACTTTCCCTGAGTTGCTCTGGATGATGGGAGGGAAGCAGCAGATTAGCGCATCCGCGTCATTCCTGCGCGGAGAGCAAAGTCAGAGCAAACAGCAACCATCTGATGCAGACGCTTTAGTCACCAACTCTGATTGCTCTGGATCTATGTCTATAGGTAGCGCATTGTTTGTGTGCGCGCGCGCATGAGAATAAACGCGGACTGACGTCCTCCATCATTACTCTCTATGCGCAGCTCGGCCGATGCGGTCCGGTCCGATCCGATCCGATCCGAGCTGCCACAAGATGGAGGTGTGGAGAAACCTGGGCAGGAAGGGGTTAAACCGGCAGGTTGTCACCTGTGGTGGATGAAGTTTGTTCTGTGGAGGCTGAGAGGAGGAAGCAGGACCAGGATGGAGATGGTCAGGATGGAGATGGTCAGGATGGAGATGGGTCAGGATGGAGATGGGTCAGATGGAGATGGTCAGGATGGAGATGGGTCAGGATGGAGATGGTCAGGATGGAGATGGGTCAGGATGGAGATGGGTCAGATGGAGATGGTCAGGATGGAGATGGTCAGGATGGAGATGAGTCAGATGGAGATGGTCAGGATGGAGATGGGTCAGGATGGAGATGGTCAGGATGGAGATGGTCAGGATGGAGATGGTCAGGATGGAGATGGTCAGGATGGAGATGGGTCAGATGGAGATGGTCAGGATGGAGATGGGTCAGATGGAGATGGTCAGGATGGAGATGGTCAGAAGGTTTATGGACCCGGTCAGGATGGAGATGGTCAGGATGGAGATGGTCAGGATGGAGCAGCAGATGATGGATCAGCTGTGGATGGACTCCAAGGTTCTAACCCTCAGAGTCTGGATGGATAGCGTATTAGCGGAGGGGAAGCTGGAAACAAGGGCCTGTATCTTCTGAAGGAACCCTGCAGGGTCACTCAGAGAGGAAGAAGACGTTCCTTCTGACGTTCTTGATCTTTGGGGGACATGTCCTTTAGTGCTGGGTGCAGGTGGTTGCTCCTGCTCCAGGCAGCAGGTCCCCTTCCGGTATCAGGTCCAGTCCAGGCAACAGGGCCGGTCCAGTCTAGTCCGGTCCAGGCTGCAGTTGTGGTCCAGTCCGGTCCAAGCTGCAGGTCTGGTCCGCTCCAGGCAATAGGTCTGGTCCAAGCAACAGGTCTGGTCCAGTCTTCTCCAGGAAACAGGTCTGGTCCAGTCTGCTCCAGGAAATGGGTCTGGTCCAGTCCGGTCCAGGCAACAGGGTCTGTTCCAGTCCATGGAGCAGGTCTGATCAAGCCCAGGCAGCAGGTCCAGTCTGGTCCAGGCAGCAGGTTCAGTCAGGTCCAGGCAACAGATACAATCCGGCCCGGTCCGGGCAGCAGGTCTAGTCCAAGCAACAGGTCCGTTCCAGTCCGCTCCAGGCAACAGGTCTGGTCCAGGCAGGAGGTCTGTTCCAGTCCAGGCAGCAGGTTTGGTCCGGTCCAGGCAGCCGGTCCAGCCTGGTCTGGTCCAGGCAGCAGGTCTGTTCCAGTCCAGGCAGCAGGTTTGGTCCAAGCAACAGGTCCGGTCCAGTCCGCTCCAGGCAACAGGTCTGGTCCAGGCAGCAGGTCTGTTCCAGTCCAGGCAGCAGGTCTGGTCCGCTCCAGGCAACCGGTCCAGCCTGGTCCAGGCAGCAGGTCCAGTCCGGTCCAGGCAACAGATCCACTCCGGTCCGTTCAAGGCATTAGGTCCAGTCCGGTTTTGTCCGCTCCAGGCAACAGGTCTAGTCCGCTCCTGGCAGCAGGTCTAGTCCGGTCCAGGCAACAGATCCACTCCGGTCCGTTCAAGGCATCAGGTCCAGTCCGGTTTTGTCCGCTCCAGGCAACAGGTCTAGTCCGCTCCTGGCAGCAGGTCTAGTCCGGTCCAGGCAACAGATCCAGTCCGGTCCGTTCCAGGCATTAGGTCCGGTCCGGTCTAGTCTGCTACTGGCAAAAGGTCTGGTCCGCTCCTGGCAGCAGGTCTAGTCCGGTCCAGGCAACAGATCCACTCCGGTCCGTTCAAGGCATCAGGTCCAGTCCGGTTTTGTCCGCTCCAGGCAACAGGTCTAGTCTGCCACTGGCAAAAGGTCTGGTCCGCTCCAGGCAGCAGGTCCAGTCCGGTCCAGGCAACAGATCCAGTCCGGTCCGTTCCAGGCATCAGGTTCGGTCCGGTCTAGTCTGCTCCAGGCAACAGGTCTGGTCCGCTCCAGGCACCAGGTCTGGTCTGGTCCAGGCACCAGGTCTGGTCTGGTCCTGGCAGCAGGTCTAGTCCGGTCCAAGCAACAGATCCAGTCCGGTCCTTTCCAGGCATCAGGTCCGGTCCGGTCTATTCTGCTCCAGGCAACAGGTCTGGTCCGCTCCAGGCAGCAGGTCCAGTCCGGTCCAGGCAACAGATCCAGTCCGGTCCGTTCCAGGCATCAGGTTCGGTCCGGTCTAGTCTGCTCCAGGCAACAGGTCTAGTCCGCTCCAGGCACCAGGTCTGGTCTGGTCCAGGCACCAGGTCTGGTCTGGTCCTGGCAGCAGGTCTAGTCCGGTCCAAGCAACAGATCCAGTCCGGTCCTTTCCAGGCATCAGGTCCGGTCCGGTCTAGTCTGCTCCAGGCAACAGGTCTGGTCCGCTCCAGGCAGCAGGTCCAGTCCGGTCCAGGCAACAGATCCAGTCCGGTCCGTTCCAGGCATCAGGTTCGGTCCGGTCTAGTCTGCTCCAGGCAACAGGTCTAGTCCGCTCCAGGCACCAGGTCTGGTCTGGTCCAGGCAGCAGGTCTAGTCTGCTCCAGGCAACAGGTCTGGTTCGCTCCAGGCAGCAGGTCCAGTCCGGTCCAGGCAACAGATCCAGTCCGGTCCGTTCCAGGCATCAGGTTCGGTCCGGTCTAGTCTGCTCCGGGCAACAGGTCTGGTCCGCTCCAGGCACCAGGTCTGGTCCGCTCCAGGCAGCAGGTTTAGTCCGGTCCAGGCAACAGATCCAGTCCGGTCCGTTCCAGGCATCAGGTTCGGTCTGGTCTAGTCTGCTCCAGGCAACAGGTCTGGTCCGCTCCAGGCACCAGGTCTGGTCCGCTCCAGGCAGCAGATCCATTCCGCTCCCCGCAGCAGGTCCGGTCCAGTCAAGCCACCAGGTCCGGTCAGAGCTGGTCTAGTCAGATCTAAACCTAACCCTAACAGAGCCAGACATTAGGAGGTCAGACATGGCCTCTACTAACCAGAACAAAGAACCAGAACCAGTTGGACCTCTCCGGACCTTTTGCTTTCCACCAACCCAGTTTGTTCAGTTTATTTCCAGGATGTTCGATGCAGAAGATCTAGTTCTGTTCATCTATCCATTAGACTGACAGAGTAAGAGTTGATCCAAAGACTCTGGTTCAGAACCCATCATGGGGTGTCTGTCCGCATCCTGCTGGGCTCTGAGCCATGTCCCTCTGGATGGTCTCTGAGCCGTGTCCATTTGGCGGCCTTTGAAACGTGTCAACAGGATGTTATCTGAGACGTGTCCCACTGGACGTCGTCTGAGACGTGTCCCACTGGACGTCGTCTGAGACGTGTCCACAGGACGTCGTCTGAGACGTGTCCCACTGGACGTCGTCTGAGACGTGTCCCACTGGACGTCGTCTGAGACGTGTCCACAGGACGTCGTCTGAGACGTGTCCACAGGACGTCGTCTGAGCCGTGTCCATTTGGCGGCCTTTGAAACGTGTCAACAGGATGTTATCTGAGACGTGTCCCACTGGACGTCGTCTGAGACGTGTCCCACTGGACGTCGTCTGAGACGTGTCCACAGGACGTCGTCTGAGACGTGTCCCACTGGACGTCGTCTGAGACGTGTCCACTTGACGTATCTGAGACGTGTCCCACTGGACAGCAGCCAGGTAGCTGACAGCTGGGTGCTTCAGGTGCATCTACGATCTAATAATGGATGCAGGGACCTGCAGAGGTTCACATGGTGTCATTTTAATGCAGCTAAGCTTTAATTAGATCCTGAAACATTAAACCTTTACATTTTAATGCGCTGCTGCTTCATTCAGCTTTGCTTTGGACTCAGGTAGAAGTTCTTCCTTTCACTGTGTAGCTAGGCACCGTTAGCTCTCCTGTTTCTCTTTATGTTTGATGCCACTGAGGCTCTGACTGTCAGGAGTAACCCTAACCTCACCTGACCCTCCTACCTGGGCTAAACACAAGGAAATGAGCTCTTGAGTGACATGCGTCGGCCCGTGCCTTTTCTTTGACTCCCTAAACCAAACTTTTTAGGTCACTGGACTAAATTAGGGGGATGTCATCGGGACACAAGTACTGCACCTAAAATTAACCCTAACCCTCTGGTTGGATTTTATTTCAAGGTTTTCTTTCAAAAATCCTCAAATTTCTCCTTTGTTTTCTTCATCATTTTATCTGTCCTTTGAAGCCGCTCTGAGAGGAAGCAGCCAGAAATCCCAAAGGATTACAGATTAAAATGGAATCCAGTGTCTGAGGAACCAGCTGGGACGTACATACTCTGGGGTTTATGGGGAGGGACGCAGGATAGGTGGCAACCCTGAGAATAAATCGGGATGTGGAAACATTAAAGCAAAGCCCCTTAGATCAGCTGAGACCAGGACGTTACTATGATCTACCTTCATGGTGGAGGAGGAGGGACACACAGAGGGACATGTTTGTCCCCCCAGCTTTGAGCTCCTGGCTGGTTACAGTTGAAAGGCATGTCCAGTCAGGGCAACTTTCTGGTAATCTGTAGCTACGACCTGGTTGGGTTAGCTTGCCATGAACTGGTCAGGAGACAGGATGCAGCGGCCATTGCACTGCAGAATCAGAATCAGAAATACTTTAATAATCCCAGAGGGAAATTACTTTTGTTACACGCTCTAGTTACAGTTTTACATGATATATACACACATCCAACTATACAATATAATAAGATAAAAAATAAGAATTAAAAGAGATAAAATATATATACACATATAGCTCTTCTGTACATATATCTATGTATATGTAAAA